GACATATTTAAACCAGGACAGAGGAGAGAGTTCCAGGTCTGGCACAGGCTCAGGTTATTTACTGCCAGAATAAAAAGCCATGGGGCTGTCATGGAGTCAACCCCCCCAGGGACCTCTTTCTTCACATTTATTTTTGTCCAAGGCTCACTGGCCCCTACAGTGGACTTGATCCCAAAGGGTGGTCCCTGAACCAGGTCAGCCTTGCGGGCTTGGGAGGGGCTGTTTGTTCAGGCAGGAAACAGCTCACAGAAACCCTACCCGCCTTTGGGAGTGGTTGCCTTGGGAAACCTTTCAATCCCCTCCAACTGGGGCCTCTGGCTGGCTAAACTTTTCTATTATTTCCACAAAAAACAGTGCCTGCGTTTGAGTGGAAAGAACATCTGTGCAAGTTAGAACCTGCCCCTTTTCAAGATGAGAATTCCTTTTTTTTTTTTTTTTCAAACACTCTTTTTCTTAAATGTTTATTTATTGTTGGAGGGGAGAGAGATAGAGTTTGAGTGTGAGACAGGCAGAGAGAGAGGGAAACAAAGAATTCAGAGCCCCATGCGAACTCACAAGCCCTGAGATCATGATCTGAGCTGAAGTCTGATGCTCAACCCACTGACCACCCAGGCGCCCCTCAATATAAAATTTCTGATCCGTAGGCAGTCTGCTTTGGGAGTTGATGAAATCCAAAACTGGCATTTCCAGTAAACCCTTTCTGGCTTTTAGGTTTCACTTTGAGGGAGGCATGATACAGGAGGAAACTGTTGGCTTCAACAGTCACCATTTGTATTGGCATCCAAAGTATAGAAATCATAAAATCTTAAAGCTGGAAGAGACATATCACCTAGACCCCTAATTCTTTTTATACACAAGGAAGCTGAGAGATGAAGTAACTAAGTGCAACTGAGATTAAGCTCAGGGGTATTGACTTCCAGGATGGAAATTCAATTCATCAGACACCATTCATCACCTGGAGAGGACTGGGAAGAGACTACCTGAGGCTTGCTGGAAACATTTTATTTTCTTTGTATAGTATAATTATTACCTACAAACATGCAAAAACAATTTCAAATGCTATAAAATTTTTAATAGTTCTTAAATGGTTTAAAACTTTTTAAGGACAGCAAAAATGTACAGTTACCTATATCTCACAGACCCCTGTAACCGTGGCAGGCCCACTGAGAGACGCTGCAAATCCACTCTCTTTAGGACCTAGTAAAGCCCTCCAAAGTGGAATCTAAGTAATGGAAATAAAGAAGTAGTAGATCTCTCCCTTGCAGCCCCACTCCCACTCAGGTTTAGATGTGGCCAGGTTTAGATGACTGGTTATTTGTGAATGCAAATATGTGTGAATTTGTGAATGCTTCTTTGTCTGTGTAACTTGTTGGGTTTTGATCGAAATTGAATTAAATCTATAGATCATGTTGGGATGAACTGAATCTTGATAAGATTGGGCCTTCCTATCCATGAATATGGAATGTTTTTCCATTTATTTAGTTCTTCTTTGATTGATTTCATCAGAGTTTTGAGGTTTTCTTCATGTAGGTCTTGTATATATTTTATTAGGTTTATACCTAAGTATTCAGTACAGCCCTAGGCCACACATTAATTGACTCAGGAAATTCAACTGACCACTAGTGACTTTGGTATATTAACCATGTATCCTGCAACCTTGCTCTAGTAGCTTATGAGTTCCACAGGTATCTTTCATCTATTCTTTCAGGTTTTCTACATAGACAACTTTTGTTCTTTTTAAGTTTTGTTATACCTGTGTTTTATTTTAGTTACTTCCACTGGAACAGCAGAGTTGAGGGAAGGAATTTCTGGGCAGACACAATTTCCCCTCTGATTCCCCATACTGAAGTGAGCAGAGCTGGAACTCAGCTCAGGTTTGTGTTTAGGTCAAAGCACTTGGAATGATGGCGAAAGGATGAGATAGAGGGTGAATAAGGTAATTACTTCACCAATTTTTCAGATCTTTTGCCTGATTTTTGGCTCCCTCCCCTGCCCCCACCACCACAGCAGTGCTTCCTTTACCCAAACAGCCATGGATGGCTGGAGATGCCTTCTCATTCTCAGAGCTGGTACAATGCTTCCAAAATTTAAAATGTGTAACTGGCTTGTCCTTGAGTTTGTCCTTTTGCAACACTGGCTACCCAACTGCTCTCCAGAAATATAGAAAGATGTCTTTTCAATGGAGCAATCTAGGAACTTACAAAATAAAATAAAATAAAATAAAATAAAATAAAATAAAATAAAATAA